TAATCGATGCCATCGGCTTCATTGCAAAGTATTAGACTAGTAGTTAATTGGATTTTAATCACATGATGATAGCGTTCAAGTCAAGCGATTTATTTCGAATTATTGAAACTGATGTTATTTTGTTTTGTTCAGAAAAAAAATGTGAAAAGTGGCCTTCTGAACGAAACGAAAAGGAGTTTTGTGAGTTCTGTGATGGAGACATCGAATATCGTTATTGCTGACAACATATCAAAAAATCAGTCAGAAACGTTGAGTTCGAGATGAGTTGTGGCAAAAAAGGTTGGAGGTGATTTCTTTTTGAACGGTACTGTACATGGTCTGCACAGAATTCGGTCCGTTCAAGTGCTGGACTTTCATAGATGCTTCAGCTACTACATAAAATCTATCGTTGAAAGTCTTCCATATATGAGGTGTTCTGCAGTTCAGTTCGAGACTAGTTTGGAAGTCGCATATGACACACATGCGTTACGAGTCTACTATTAGAAAAAGAATATTAGGATCAGCAGGAATGAGCTGTTGAATACATAAATACATCTAATTTGCTACTAGTATCTTACCGTTGTGACAGCAAAAGACAATTTCACAAAAAAGAATACCGCAATATTATTACGGCTTTGAAGCGTCGAATGAGCTTTACTCTTCCTAGCCGGAATCCTTGTTTCTTCACTTTTCTGCATGCCGAGCTTTCGCCTAACATTGTACCCAAAGAAGTGGCTTTTGGTAGGAGAATGACGGAAAGACTAGCTTCAGTTTTATTGGTCGCAATAATAATTAGTATACAGCATAAGATTATCACATGCTTCTAAAAAAATCACGACACGATTTATTTCGAAAGTGATAAAGGATAAAGTTGAGGTTATCGATATCGATAAATTCCACTTTGAGATGCGATCATGCATCCGACTTCCATTCAAAATAGTAGCAGCATCTAAATGCGTATTCCACCAAAATTAGTATGGATATCAGCCGATGCATGCAGAAACCCCAGCGGGACGGAACATCTGACTGACTTGAATGTCAGCTGAGATTTGAAACTCAGGCCTTGAGTGTTTGGCAGCGCCACTCTTGACTGTTCATCGTCGGGCTTTGAAGGCGATAACACATGCTTCTAAAAAAAACCACGACACGATTTAGTTCGAAAGTGAAAAACATAACACACAAGAGTATAATCTTCTTCTTCTCCTCCTTAGCATTAATTCCATGCCGTCGCACGTCCGCTGTTCTTGTCAACCGTCCTCACTTCTGTCGATCCACGGCATCTCCTGCCTTTATTTAAGCTTCGGCGAGGTCCTTCTTGGTCACGTCTCGCCATCTCTTTCTTGGGATTCCTCCTGGTCGCTTACCCGGAGCTTCAATTTCCATTGCCACCCTTATCGGATGGTTCTGTGGTCTTCTCAGTTCATGCTCGAACCATCGCAGGCGCTGCTACCTCATCTTCAGCTAGACCGGGGCTCTTTGCATAGCCGCCCTGACGTCTTCACTTCTGATCCGATCCAGTGACGTCCAACCGCAGGCCCACCTGAGCATTCTCATTTCTGCGGAGTGGAGCTGTTTTTCAAGGTTTCTACTTACGGGCCAACACTCGCTGCCGTAGAGCGTCGTGGGCTTCACCACTACCCGATACACCTCTCATTCGAGGGTCCTGGAGCACCGACGGTCGCAGAAGATACCGAAGGACTCACTCCTATTCATACTTGCCGCGTTCATTCGGGCTTTCACGGCCTGGTCCACTCTACCATCAGCCGCCAGATCCCTCCCCAGGCATCGGAAGTCCTAGATCTTTTCGATGGCTTCCCCGTGACCGTCGATGATTGACTCCGTGCCCTCCAAGGAGTTGAAGAATTTGGTCTTTTCACGTTCAGTCGGAGCCCATTTTCCGGCAGCACTTTCTGCCATTTCTGGGGCCTGTCCTAGAGTTCTTCCTTGCTCTTCGCTATCACAGCGATGTCATCAGCGTAGAGGATGGTCTTCAGTGCCCCATCCATGAGTTCTTCTGTGATGGAGCCCATCGTGAGGAGGAAGAGGAACGGGCTCAGAGCTTATGCCTGGTGTATCCCAACAGAAAAATCTTTGTTCCGTTCTGACCGTGTGGAGTACGTATTGCATTCATCGTAACAGCGCAATGCTTTTCTGAAAAATAATCAATCAGTGCAAAGATGAATGCCTAACCGCGAACGACTCCCCCAGAATAAGCGATGGCTAAAAATGTCCTGCTCTGTTGGCAGAGAAGAAAACGCAATGATAGGAGGGTCTGAGAACTTTTCCCTTAACACGGCGTCGCACACGCCGCACCCGCCACTATCGCAGGATTGCGATGGAATATTGGAGCGCGTAATTTGTGAGGTAGGGAGTCCTTTAATTATTTGAATTGGCTGACCGCTTTCTTCAATTTCAATGCAGTCTTGATCGTCGCTTACATAGGAGGAGTCATTTTAGTTAATCAAATCAAATAAACATGAAAACGAAAAAGAAACAGAAGAAAAAACGATCAAATCCAATAAGAAAGCAAGGCAATCAACCAAAAATATCGCGTCCTATCGATTGGCGGGGAGGTGGGGTGAGTACGGTAATTGTAGTGACATTTACCGCATGCCGCAAGGGAGAATGCCGCGATCGAGGAGAAGTTCCGTTACCCATGATAGGAGGGCTTAGTTGAGTTACGGTGGTACCGCGTGCCGTCGCCATTAAACTCGGGTGCGTAGTTACGCCAAAACAAGGAAAGGACGCAGATGACTGCTATCGTCACTTCGAGGAGCGATCGGCTTCCGTGATTCTGAGTATTAGTGTGAAGGCTTTGATCTATCTGTCCGAACGAAATGCCTAACAATTGTTGTATCGATCACGAACGCATACAAAAGATCCGATATTCGCAAAGTGAGTGGAACCAGAAACGCTTTGGTAACTGAAGACATTCTTAAAAATAGAATTGCATAGGGCGGATTCTAGTCATGCCATCTATCACCAGTGCTCCGACCCTGCCTCACGTACTCATACAGAGTTTGTTTGAACGCTCTACGCCCGAATTAATAACTTTCGATCACGCTTGCTCCTGGTGTCTAGAGTCTAGTCATGCCACTCACTGTAAGTGTTTTCATCCTATCGTCTGTGCTCCTACCAAATTCGAACTTTCTAGGTCCACGGAAGTAGGAGGTATGAATTTTTGGTTGGACAAGCACACACAAACACACACTGATTAGCGCGTTATATATTGCAGGATCAGGTCGAGGGTAAAAGTGTACTGCAGGCTCACAGAGATAGTCAGAAAGATACTAGTTTCAAAGGTTTTTCTCTGTTATTGCGGCTCTTATTTTGGAAGCAGCCTCACACGCTTGGTTGCTTCACTGCAGTTCCGATGAATTCGGAGCCGTAGATGGAGCTGTGACAAGAGGTGCACTGTCACACGCATTTTGAAAAGATTAAGTCTCGTGACGATATGCATTTTGGCCTACCAAGCCTTCACATTGATGACGAAAGGCGTTCAGATGTGGAATTGCACTTCGCTCGACAACATTTACTCCACTTTGCACTTTGATGAATTAGAAAGCAGAGAGAATGTTATCTCAGCTTTTTTATCATTGTGCCTTCCGCTTGTGAATTGCCACATAAAACTGCCTTTATTAGATCACCTGGTCATCTGCTCGGATGTCGCAATAAGTAGAAGATAGCAAGAATAGGATCCGAAAGAAGACCAAACACATTCGATGTTTTGGAGATTCCACTTCTGTTTCTTGCGTTGCGTGGGCGAGGTGGTGAACAGATAAATAAAAGTGTCGGCATTGCTCCCACTGTAGGAAGAAAGACTACTTGTCGACAAACAGCGCTTTCACTTGAAATTGAACTGGAAGCCATGTAGCAAACAGTTATAATGAATTCGATCACTTCATATCCAATAGGAAGCTGCCTTGCTAACGTAGCTGTTGCTGGAGTGCGACATATCATCAAACCATCGTCCCGTTCGCGTTGGCTCCTGTTTCTCAATTCATATTTCTATTTTTCGAGAAAAAGAGTTGGAAAATTCAGGAGACGGAGACCAGTTAATCAAAATAACTTAACTTTCCTTGCGAGTTTATGGTAAAATTCAGCCATCAGCAACAGTATGAGGAATGTAATCAGTTCGTTAAACATCTCCATGATAACGCTGAGAAAACAGGGAGTCTCCAGGCAGGAAGTAGGAATAGACGTCTCTTTCTCGAAGACTCTCGTGCCGATACTTCCAAGTGGAATTGCGCGAGCTACAGGCTATCATCAACTAACATTCAAAGGTGTGAAAATATGCAGAGGAAAGAAGAATGAAGACTGAGGGAGGAAAGAGCAGCAGCCGCTCCAATGAGCAGCCCAAAATCCAGGTGCGGAAGATCACGCTGAGTTGCTAGTGAGATGAGTGAGAAGTGAGATCAGAGGGGCATCATTTATCATTAGCTGTCAACGCATAATCGAACGACAACTTCGGAAAGGTATTGGGCTCAGCCAGACATTTTGAAGGCAGCGACAGAGCAGAGCAGAAGCCCCCAGAATTGGTCAAACGTAAGGACTTTGCTTTCTGCCAGAATTACGCCAGACTACACGTGTCGCTGGCTACCAGTTGGGAATTAGTGGAGCTTGAGCTTGGCCAGCTTCAAAAATCGGCGGAAACTCCCCGGACAAGCCATTATATGGACATAGAAAAGCTCCACATAGAGGACGGATTGGTCCCAGAAAACCGGCCGAGAAGCTTGATATGTGATTTCGCAGCATATTATAGCTCTCTATACATAGAGTGGTGACTTTGTGTGTCTGTTTGTATGCCCGTTTGTGTGCCCTTCCGGAAGTCACGTAGGATGAAGAGTGCGAATGTTAAGTGAGCACGGTGAGGAAGCAATTATTAAGTGAGAAGTCATCCGACACTGTCCATATGGGTATTCTCACAACTAGTAGGTAAGTGGTAGTGGGCGTGTGGTGCACGAGTTAGCGTGCGTAGCCCAAATGGTAATGAATAGGGCGAAATGCTGTCTCAGTTTGTCATGTCGACCAATACTACCCATGTCGAATCGCATTCCATGAGGCCTCTCATTCGCGATGTGCTGGGAAGTAATCTTTTGGACAGATCAAAAATGAAGCAGACTATATCATAGCTATTCTCAAGTTTTGCCTGGCAGACGTCGTTGTTCTTCCGAAGTTCTATGCGTATCGAACTATCGTCTCCTCCGAGCTATATAATGTTTTCAGGAGATCACGGGACGAGGCAGCAAGAATGTCATCAACTGGAATATTTTATTGCGATTTCATTGAAGATTCTGTTATCAACAACATCGAGGAAGATTACAAACGGTTTGTCAATCCACGATAGTGCTAAAAAAGCAGATAGTCTACATTTTGCTAAGAAAAGTCCCTCTCCGCAGACTCTCGAGCTGATACGCAAGGATGGCACGAGCTACAGGCAGTCATCAACCAATGTCTGAACTTGCGAAGCTATGCAGAGAAGCGATTTAGGAAGGTCTGAAAGAGAGGAGAGCAGCAGGCTTGGCGGGAAGCCGCCGAAACTGGGAAGAGTGTTTACAATCCCCGCCGCCGCTTCGCCGATTGCAGGACCAAGTGACTTCTCTTCTTCGCTTTGACGAAACAGCTACCGCATCTCAAAGATCAGTGGAGAAAGTTATCTACAACTTTTATTGGGATACAGCCACGGCTATCTATTTATCTACCGCCTTGAGCTGGGAGGATTTGCCCTTTCACTGCAATTCTTCGGAATTTATATGCATTCACGTGGATGAAGAATCGTGCGGTACTCTGTCTAGATAAGAATGAACAAGACATCTTAAGAGCTTTGCAAAACTCATCATCAAGAATTCCGGCTTGGCTTTCCCCGCGGTACCCGGAATGCGATGTGTCCACACCATAGGAAGCTAGCAAGTACGTTAACACTGTTTTCAGGTTGTCATGGCTGAGACCGCTTGATTTGGGTTGACGTCTCGAGCAATTTGGTCTACCAAAACAACATCATTGGCCAGATTCGCACGTGCAATGCATTGTCGGGGTTCTGCGCTGACTTTGTCCGATACAAATGGAATCCGAAGATGCATCACATTCT